ATTTTCTTCCTGCTGAAGTCAGTAGAAGTTTTGTTTCAATTAGATGGGATCAGTTTCAGGCCTGGGATTTGGTGTTGAGATTCCTATCTGGCTCACCAGTTCATCACACCAGAATGCCTGATGTCTGTAGGCAGTAAGGAGAATAATGATATATGCCAGTTGCATATTTGTCATGTTGTTTATCAATAAAGGGCCAGACTATGAATGTGTTCCTTATGCAGAATGAGATGCAGAGCTGCACAGCCTCGGGAAAAAAATGACTTAGAAAAAGTGATTTAAAAATCCATCACTTTTTCCTTGTCTCCAAAGAGAACAAACTTACTTTACAAGGTGCAGCTGTCTTCTCCCAGTGTGCAGCCTCAGATCTGAGATCCAGGGCGCTCATACACAGGCAGGGAAGTGTGGTGGCCCAGATCTGAGAGTCTGCTGCTTTCTAGCAGGGAGTCACAACAGACTTGGGTCACGTAAGGGGAAGTGAGGAACCCACACACCCTCCTGTCCTCTGCTGTGACAGCGCTGGGATGAATTGCACGGTGCCCTTTTAGTCTTTGAGTGATTCAGTCTCGTGGTAACCCCCGTTACAGCACCCACCTATTAAAAGGACAATAAGCATGTTTGTTTGATGAACTGCTTGGTTTGCTCCTGAACTAACAGATAAGATCCGGTTTGTTTGTTCTGCCGTTTCTGCCAATACTACTGGACATCAGAGATTAAGACCCAGACACTTGTTTGTTTATTTTTACACCATGCAAAGTATGAAGAAAATATAAACCTTTTTATAATTGATGGAAAAGTTGCATGTAATTCACAAGAAGTGACAATTGACTGAAAGTATTGGAAAAATATTTATTTTGCAAACCTATTCTGAGAGTCAGAATTTATTACAAAATATGTGCCTTCAGTGGGGTTGATCTGTCCTGTCTTTGGAAAACCCCAGGATTTTGTAAGTGGATGGGAGAGTCGAGGAGGTCTAGTTAAATGTTTTGTAAAAGTTATCACAGAATCAAAAAAAGTCAAAAGATTTCATTTGGCCTCCTCATTGCTGTTGCATTTGCAAGGAATGTTGCAAGCAAAACACTCCAGTCTTATCAAATCATTAACATTGATTCTAGTCTTAATGGGACCATTTGTTTTTCATTTGGAGACATTATCAAGCATTTTGACTGGTGTATATATACTTGTAGTAAAAAGGCTTTTACACAGCAAAGTTCTTTACCTCATGAAAAAATTATGCTCCTTCTCCTCGTGAAGGATACATGGCCTCACTCCAAAGAATTAAGTATTTTAAAATTAAAACAATTTCAAAGCTGACACAAATTATTTGGTGAAAAGTAAACAACTGTTCTTTAAAAAACATTTGGATAATAAAAGCAAACTCTTGTGAACACAACAAACAAATTTTAGTTAGGCATAAGTGGATTAGTTATTGGTTGTACTCAGTCATGCTGGAATTTTTCCTCCTGATGCCTGTGTGCTCTACACTACTTAAGTATGATGTGAGATAATATGAAACGGTGTATTGACGGCACAAGGAAACTATTTGGATGGCTGTCTGGAGTTGCCATTATTGGCTTTAATTATGACTTGCTGTCCTTTGGGTACTAAATGAGCCAGAAAAGGCTTCATATGTGCCAAAGTATTCATTACTATTCCCCTTTCTGTCGTTGTACTTGCAGAAGAAGTTTTAGTCTGGCACCTGACTGCAGTTCTTCTTAGCATGGACCAAGATGCTTTGCAGATTTTGATAATCATCTAAAAGCACACCAGCGTCTCTACTTTTTGGATACAGTAGAAGTTGTTCCTAGGTAACAGTGGCACAACTCTGACCACTTTCTGATGTAACTGGAGAACAAACACTTTGCGCAGTCATCCAGTGACATGGCTACTTAAAGTCAGTCTTGTGGTACCAACTGGAGAAATAAAAGTAATTCCTTGTTTCCCTCTTCCAGGTTAGGGGACCTGCATACCTGCATTAGGCTTTTTGGGAAAGTTCTTGTATATCATCATTTTAGGCCCCTTGCCACAGTTCCGTATAGACTTAATAATGAAGCCACAAAAATCTTTCTGAAATAAAAATAGCCTTTGGAATCCATTTTGGTAATGAAAAATTGTCTATAGTGAAGTAGTTTTTTCTCTGCCGTGGAGTGTCTCTTGGGTAGGTACAGAACAAAATAATCCCTCATAAAGAATATTCCATGAACTCCTCTGACACTTCACTGTGGAGGCTCTGCTGAGTATGGTGACCACTCCTTTGGCATCCACTCTTGAACAGACCAGTGGACAAGGATGAATTCCTGCTCCAATACATATTTACCTTTGCAAAACTTAATTTTAATTTAGAACCTTGTTTGAACCGAACTTCAAGTCGTAGTTTTAGCACCCTTTGAAATACTGTCCTGTGGGACGCCAGACTGTTCTTAGAAATCAATATTTTTACTAAGGTGGTGTATAAACAGATGCTCCTCATTTTGGAGGCATTTGATGACATCTTCCACTTCTCATCTGTCACATTAGAGCATAAACTGGCCTTGACTTAAGCACATGGCTCTTCTTGAACTTCTATGACTACAGGAGGATGCTTACTTTCGTGGGCTGTTTCACAGCCTTGTTCTCCCTGAAACCTGAGATCCTCACACTTTTCAGAGATTTTTATCTAGTTCATGTAGGGATTTCAACTACTGTTTGAGCATTCCTACCCAATATTTGCTTTGTGGGGTGTTTGTAGTGAAAAGATGCTTAGCCAGAGATCTTCAGTGTCATCCCCTGCTTGGGCAGGAGGAAGAGCTTTCACCTGGACAGCTTGCACCTGGGGCTGGTGCGGAAATGGATGAGAAGGAAGAATGCTATCTCGATATATTTCAGCCCTTATAAACCCATGGCCTGGAACCTGGAACTCAGTTGTGATATGGGGTTAGCTGCACAATGGGAAGGAGTCCCTGCCTGCCTGCTCTGTCATCCTCCCCCTCCTTATCTAGCCTAGGTTAGCCAAAATACTCTGTTATGCTGTTTCTGGGGTTTCCTTTCTTTCTTTCAAAGAATGTACAGAGGCACAGGGCTCCTCACTACTTTCTGCCACTGTTGCTCTTTATACTTTCTGAAACATAGTTTCAAAGACTGGTGGGGGGAATGGAGGGAAAGCAAATCTTTCTTTTCTTTAATTGCTGTTTATTGCAACTGCAGAGTTTTGCTTCTCCCTACAAGCGCGGCAGGTGGTGCTCTTGGTCCTTCCAAACACAAGCAGCAGCACTTCCTAAACTCCAGTCAAGTCAGAATTGTGCCATCCTGCACCAGCTGGCTGGTTTTAGCCCTGTCACATAAGGGCAAGATCTTTCAGCTTTGGGTGAAGTGTTTTCTACCAATGAAGGGGAAAGAAGAGAAGAAAAGGTACTTTAAGTAAGGACTGGATGTTGGCAGTAGATGAAGAAAAGATCAATACAAACAAAAGTAACTAGTTGGCAAGTACATCCTTAATTACCACACTATAGCCCAATCCAGCATCCTGTCCCAAATTTAGATGTATAACCCATAAGGAAAACATTGTAGCTATTAAATTGAATTATTCTGTTGAGGTCCTTTCTGTTTTGCTGTTGTGCTTTAAGTAGCATCCTGCTCTCACCTACACATTGTAATTTCCCACTGCAGGCACCCCAAAACTTGTAACAGCAACTCTTCCAGTGTCAAGGTGTTCCAGGATTTTAAGAGTAGCCACTTGCTTGTTTCTCAGCTGGTAGCCATACTCTGCCCTGAAGATCATGCATTTGCTGTCACCCCTTACATCTTACAAAATCTGGATCAGAAAGGCCATCATCAGTAGAGAGGTAAATTCTCTTCCAGCTGTTAACAAAGAGATGGTAATTAAAATTGGCAAGTGTTATTATACTTGCTTTTTATTTCTTTTAATAGCATTTCAAGTGGAAAACGTGCCTCTCAAGATTTCGAAATTCTTAGCTGAAAATGTTTAGGAAAGTAACTAAAAATAGGCAATTCTGAGCAGAACTTCAAAGTTTGGGGAGAAAAATTATGAATACATGCCAGATATGTAGTCACTCCATCCTTACCCAAGCTTTTTTGCAGCAGTCTTCCTGGAAAGGCATCATTGCCAGTTCTTTCAAATTTTTCTTGTAAATATATGTTCCTGAGGCATTTAGTATTAGGTGAAAAAAAAAAGTAAATTCCCACTTCATTTATTCTAGCAGCATTTAGTTCTGCTGTTCTCCAGTCCTCTTCTGTGTATGTTAACTGTGCTCGGAGATATGGTAAAATAGGGGAAATTGTATGTGTCACCCAAGAAGTTATTTAAATACACTTGTTTTTAGGTTTGTTTTGTTGGAGTGCAAGTAGTATGTACCAATAGATGGTGCTGTTGGTGCATTAATTAGGTTCGGTTTCACATTTGTTTTCTGGTCTGTGGTTGGAATTTGTTTAAAAAAAATAGACAAAACGAAACCCGAAAAAAAAAAAAAAAAAAAAAAAAAAAAAGAACAAAACAACAAAATCCCCAATGCTAAGCTTTTATCCAAAATGTTCTCCCTGCACTGAACCGGTCACCGTTTAACTTTAACCTGAACTGTGGCCCAGGAAATCCTTCAACATAAATAACCTTGGAAGCTGCCATGACCGTTTTTGGAACGCGCTCCCTCAATAAATCTGTTACTTTGTTGTGCAATGTTGAAGTGTGCAGTTGTTTCTCTGATTAATTAGGGCAAAAAATAAACTTGCACGATCAATGCAAGCTGTGACACGTTTCAGCCCTGGCTGGAACATGTGGGCAGAAAAGAGCCTTAGAGCCCTCTCTGCAGACCTGCCCTGGGATTTTAAGATGCATGCTGGTTTGGAGTTTACTCCATTTGATGAGATAAGGTGGCTGCTAACAAAGTCCACAGTGGAAGAGTTTTGGTCTGTCCCAGAACTGCCACGCTAGGTTAGCACGGGTAGGACTGAACACAGTAAGAAATGATTCATCTTGACCACTGCCCCCGCTAAAGACAACATAACAGAACTGTTTTATGTAATTGTGTTTATTTTATTTCACATATTACCCATGGAGAACAGCTGATACATTCTCTACATCTTTCACCAGTCTGGAATGCAAGATAAAAAAAGGTATGGAAAAAGAGTTTAACGTTTGACATTCACGATATGAAAAATAGAGGGGATACAATGTTTTAAAATGCCCGTATGCAATATATATATATATATATATATAAAACGTATAAAAATAAAATATATTTTTCAAAAAAAAAAAAGATACAAACATGACATGACACAGAACAACCTTAAATACCGATACGTATCTCGTGATCCACACACACCGCACTTATAATTAACAAAAACCACGTACAATTGCACTTTTCCTCTCTGTGACGTTCAAGTATATCGCAGTCCCCGCAGGGACTAGTGAGTGTCCGATTCCCTGCCGGGTGCAGATAACGCAGAGGGTAGAGCAGATGTGGGCGACCTGTCCTTGCCCGGGGCTGACGGGCACCCTCAAACTCCCGGAGGCAGAAGGCGAGGCCGGGGCCAGTCGCCCGCCAGCGGGTCCCCCCCGGCGGCGGGGCTCCCCAGAGCATCCCCTCCTCGGGGCAGGGCTCCGGAGGGACCGCCCGGCCCCCCGGGTGCAGCGGCGGGCGGGGGGCGGCTCGGCGGCGCCTTCCAGCCCCGGGCGGCTGGTGCGGGAGCCGGCGGGGCCTCGCCCGGGGAGGGTCGGAGTGGGCGGCTTGCGGGGGGCGCAGCCCCGGCGGGCCCGGCCCTTCACAGCTCCCCCGCGGAGGGCGCGCCGGGTCCCGCCCGGGCGGGCGCTCTCCGCGGATCCTGCCGGATCTCGGTCCGCGCCTCAGTCCATGCGTCGGGGCGGCCTCGGCCGGGGCGTGCGGCGCTCACACCTCCAGGACGGGGTCGAGGGGCTGCGCCCGGTGCGTCCGTGGGCGCCGCCCGGCGCGGGGGGAGCGCGCTGGGCTGCGGCGCTCGGGCAGGGACCGCCGCCGCCGCCGCCCGTAGCCCTGCGGGCTGATCTTGTTGGGGGGGGCGGTGTCGTCCTTATCCTTATTGCCGGTCGTCCTGTGGATCTCGTCGACCAGCCTCTGCACCGTGCACGTCCCGAAGCGGCACCCCATGCGGATGGCTTGGAAGTGGGGGAATCTGTTAATGCTCTGGCGGTAGCGCTTGACGCGGATGTGAGCATCCTCCCGGCTGCTGCGAGGCAGGAAGAGAGAGAACGGGCATGAGAACAGCGCAGTGGGCCCCGGAGGAGGGGACCCGGCGGACGCGGGAAGGGGAGGGGAGGGCAGGGAGCCCCCCAGGCTGGAGACGGGGTTGTCCCGAGGTGCCCAAGTGCCTCCCACCACCCCCGGCTCTGCCCTCCGGCGAGCGGCGGGAGCGCGGAACAGAGCTTGCTGTCCATGGGGGGAGAGGCCCCGCCGGTTTATGGCTGTTACTTTATCTATGGATCCAGAGCTCAAGTTACTATTTATATCTGGCTTTCGCAGTAAAGGCGCTACTATCTCCCGCCGGCTAAAGAGCGCGGGGAAAGGGAGGCGGGAGGCTGCTTTCAGCGCGATGTGCAGCCCGGGCAGGACCTGCCTCCGGGTCTGGGGGGACCTATAGCGAGAATAACCCGAAACACCCGGAAACGAGGGACCCTGAAACTTTGCACCGCCTCGAGCAAGTGCCCGAGCCCAGAAAGGGCTGGTATTTACCTGGGATGCGAGACTCGGAGATCCTCTTTCACGTCCTGGGTTCTTACGAGAGGCAGCACATCGGCGGCTGCCCCCAGCCCTCGGAGCACGCCCGCAGGCTTCACGTCCCGCTTGGCTCGGCTCAGTGCCCATTTTGTCCATCTGAAAGGAGCACAAGGGAAGAGGACAGCCTGTTAGCGCAAGCCTGCAGGGCGGGAGCCAAACCAAATAGATTCGAGGGGCCAAAATCTTTGCCAGCGCCGAGATTTCCCACCCCCCCTTTTTCTTTTCTTTTCTTTTTTTTTTTTTTAATTTTTTCCTCCCAATGTTTCCTGAAAGGGCATGAGGCCTTCAAGGAGCTGTGCAATTCCCATAAGGAGTCCGGTCCCTCCGATCGCGGCCGGAGCCCGGCGCGGGGGCGCGGAGGCTCCGCAGCTCCACGCGCGGTACTGGGCGCTGGCAGGAGGGCGCGCTCCGATACTCACTTTCTTTTGAACTCTGTCGCTACGTCCACCCTTGCAGCATCCACCCCGAAGAAGGTCACAGAACCGAGATAGAGCAGAGCGACGTGAACTAGTTTCATTCTGGCTGGGCTCCTGGTGGAGGGAAAAGTGAAGAACCGTAAGCATGCTTGCTAATAAAAGTCAAGTAAGGACTGTCCTTTATTTCTGGTGATTCCAGAGGGCTCCTTCCCCCGCAGAGCCCCCAGGCTACCGGGGACTTTGTGTCTGATATGAACCAGAAGCTAATATTTGCTCAACAACTTATCACAGAGCAAATAACAGAGCCTCCAAAGTTTACGTTTGCGGAGAGTTTTACTTGCAGAGGCGGCTGAAAACCAGCAGGATTTCCAGAGTACCCCCAGCGGCTTGCACTAGGATTTAGCAAACCCATGAGATTAGAGAGCTGGCTATCGGACGTATCGTTTCCAAACTCCAGCAAGTGTTTTGCTGCCTGGAAGTTTATCCCCCGATAGCTCCTCTTCCCACTTCACACGCAGAACCAGCTAGTTCTGGATCTTATGTTGTAAACTGCAGCTGATGCCAAGAGCCAGTGCAAGACTTCGCAGCATAACTCCAAGCTCTTCAAAACAGTCCAGATTTAGTAGATTCTCACTTCCTCTCCACCTCCCCTGAATCTTTTTGTTGTTGTTGCTGTTAAGGTGGGGGGAAAAAAAAATAGTTCTTACCTGACAGTGAGGATAATCCACTGAGACAAATGTTTTTGTAGTAGCGATCCGAGCTTGCAGGGTTTCCTGAGGAGCGAGAACTCCTCCTTTGTGTGTCTGAAGTAACCACTGCCGAGCTGCGCTCCACCGCTCCCTCTTATAGAGCAGCGCGGGGGAAGTGGGTGGACCTTGGCGTGGCTGGGCAATTTTTCTTTGACACTTACCCCCACCCCCACATTTCAAGCACTCCTTAAGCATTCTAGCCTGGATTGGGGGCAACATATACTAGGGTAAAAATAAGAGGATTATTGAAAATTATCTTAAACAACCCTCTTGGTATTTTGTTAATTATAACGGCAGCTTTTAGGTGTGGATTCCGAGTAATGGCATAACTTGCAAAATCTGATAAGCCCCTCAGTCTGTTTTACTGGGGAGAGGCTTTGTAACTGCTGATATATAATTATATTTGCATGGTCTGTAGCATAATTTCTCATTCTAGACATCTTAACTTCAGGTGGGTGGAAGCAGGGGAGTGGGAACCAGACTTGATCCATTTCAAAATCCATGAAAATCCATCAGATACCAAAGTTCCAAAAATAAACCCATATTTGGACAAAGTGAATTATAATGAGTAACTGTAATGAGCGCCAGCCCTCTTTACATAATTAAGAAATATCAGACATCATTAATATTTACGACCCAGCTTGGGTGCATTTTTTATCTAACAAAATGTATTTGATTTACTTGATCGATTCAAATAAATCACAATTCAAATGGTTTTGGAAGATGAAAGTTAGAGCCCAGTTCTGTACCTTGGAACAGAGGAGGCGATATTGCTTTGGGGCAAACACGGGGTCACTGAAACGCTTGGGATTAGGGAAGACCTGCCGTGCCTTGTGCTATTCCCAAACCTTCACAGACGTGAGTGCGCTTACTTCCCCGGACATCAAGCTAAACCAGCTCAGGATCAGGGTCTCTAACAGCATTCTCCTGGCTGGCCAGCAGCAAAACCTTAGTCAGATCACCTTGTTGTTTGGGGGTTTTTTACAGTTTTTGAAGTCTTTGCTCCGTGACGCTTCAGAAATGCAGAGGTCCGGCTTCGCAGGGAGTGCTGGAAGCCATCCCCAGATGGACCGTGTCCCTGCTCGCATGTCACCATGCAAATTCGGCGAGACCGAGCGAAAAGCCTCGGGAGATCTGTGCCCTGGGGCGTCGAGGTCCCCTTCCCAGCAAGAGACACTCGGGAGGAAGGAATGAGCCGGTGAGATGTTTCTCTCACACAAAAACACTTTGTTTCGCCCCAAGCAAAGTGTTTCAAAAATCAGGTGAGCATGTGCTGGTGACTCTGCCTTTTGTAGATAACCACGGTGGATAACAACACCCTGGAGAGGTATGTGCAGGGGGATGACGGAAACTTTCCTGTACGCGCGGCTGACTCGGTCTAAGGTGCTCCCTCCCTCCCCCCGCTCTCCAGCAGCGTCTGGGCATCTGGAGGCTTCAGTCTCCGGCATCTACCTGTGCGGGTCAGGCTGGCGCGGCAGCCGCCACCCCGCCGTCCCTCCCACGCTCCCAGCACTGCCTGTCTCCGCTCCCCATCGCATCCCCCGGCCGGCCGCCCTTCTCCCCCGAGCCCCCGGCGCGGTCCCGCGGGGCGAGGCGGGTTCCCCGGCCGTGAGCGGCCGCCGGGCGAGCCCAGATCGGCTCCTCCGCCGCACCTGCCCGGCCGGAGCGCGGGGCGGGACCGGCGGCGGCTCCGGAGCGCCGGGAGCCGCCGGGGCAGCGCGGGGGCAGCGCCGGGGCTCCCCCGCGTCCCTCCCGCCCGCCGGCTCGGGCAGCTCCGCGGAGCCACAGCCCCCCGTGCTCCGGAGCAGGAACGCTCAGAGCGAGGGCTTGGGCTGGAAGCTGGGGGAGGAAGGAGTGGGAAAATAGGTGGTGTAGAACGGGACCGGTGTCATGACCAGAGCTGCCCCACGGCATCAGTCCGCGATGGCTGGGTTTTAGAGACCTCATGAGGCAGTTCAGGCTCGAGCGAGTTCAAGCGTTTCCTTGATCAGCAGAAGCTGAAACTGAATCTAACTTTTTCCGAATGGGAAGGCAGGATTTGGTGTGATAAGCACTGCTTTGACTCAAATTAGGTCTCATGTTCCAGTAAAAAAAAAAAAAAATCACACATTTCCTCAAATGCTGGAAAATCCCTCATTAAAATCCTTGTCTAAACGGGAAATGTATTTTGTATACTCTTAGCCAAACAATGCAGAAAGAATCCTACACTGCTTTAGTAATAGTAAGAACAGTAGTAACACAACTCACATATGACTTCCATACTGACTACAAATCTCATCTCACTGATGGAAATCAGCTCGTTCAAATTCATGAGGTACCAAACTTTGGCACATAAATTATCAGTTTGTTGCTGATGTGATTTTTGAAAGGGTTTCAGCAGGTAAAGCTGGTTCAAATCTGACACAAAACATTATGTTCTTTGTTCAGATGCTCATTTTGTTCTTCCTAAGAACTTGCATTACCATGCAGTTTGGAAATGAGCAATAGTCACAGAATTTGTACTATGAGGTAACAGTGATCACTTCTAAAAATATATATAATAAATAGTGAGTTATTTCCACTTGAAAAAAAAGTTACATGCAATGTTCCACAGAAATATTCACAAACTATCAGTCTGAGGCAATGCCATGCAATTCAGCAAGACTGGGCTCTGATATGAAGTGTAGGATCTCCTCTGGATGCTGCCTCATCCATTGTGGGAAAGTTATCCTGGAGGAACATCCAGCTCTTGTCCTTGTTTACTCGGGTGTGTCTTTGAACCTCTTGGTGTTGCCATATGTACAGAAGACTTTACAACATGCATCTCTTCTGGCAGGGAGATTGTGATGATTAGTTGCTATTTATAGAGCATTTTATTCAGGCTGAGATTTATTCCAAAAGGAAAGGTCTAAAATCTCTAGATATCGATGGGGAATCAGTTTGAGGCAAATATTCTGTGCTGATTATGGAAAAAAGCTGCTGTTTGAAGCCATTGGAAGTGCTTTTGCATGTTTCACTTTGGCTTTAAACAAATTTACTGAATTCATATGCCATAGACTTGACTGTATTTCAGGCTGTATGAAAACAGCAGAAAGACAATACTAATAGAATGGCACCCTATGAAGGATATAAAACCTCACTCAAGCTCCACACAGAAAAGCCTCACTGTTAGTGTTTGCACTCAGCCCGTTTCCTCTATGCTGAGGGCACAGCATCAAGGAGCACAGTCTGGTAGTGCCACTGGAGGTTGTTTTGGTGAGCCTTATGTCTGATAGGATTGGGTACATCAAACAAAGCCTCCTAAATGAGGGTGGGAAAACCTGTTCAGGATCACGGCTGCTTCCCTGTTCTGGCATGGGGTGAGGTGACACTGGATTAAGAGACTGCAGCAGTGTGACTTTTGTGTTTCTCGAAGGAGTTACCTGTAGAAGGTATTGTGAACCTTCACAACTTTTTGTTGGCAAGTGCACAGTTTGAGTGTGGCAATAGTGTCCCTTGAGTGCTTTCAGACTCTTGGGGAGGCTGCAGCCCCACAGTTCTTCCCCTGGGGTAAGTACATGACTGTGCTTCTGGAGACCTAGGCCTTGGTGTCCTCTCAGAGCAGATGGTCTGTGAGCCCCTGGCTCACAGAGGGAATTCAGTTTTCTATGGTTTGGATGAGTATTCAGTTTATTTTGCATTAGGCTTTAGGTGAAAAAATACTGTGTCTGTTCCACTTCTTCTTTTGTCCTATAAGAACATAAGATTTCTCTATACTTAAAGGAAATTGCTCAGAGAAGTTGTGGCTGCCCCATCCCTGGAAGTGTTCAATGCCACCCAGGCTGGATGGGGCTTTAAGCAACCTAGTGTAGTGGAAGATGCCCCTACCCATGGCAGGGGGTTGGAACAAGAAGGTCTTTAAGGTCCCTTCTGACCCAAAATCACATTTCATGTGATTCTATGAAATAAATGAGCTCAACTGTACTTCCTATTTCTTATTTAAGATGCACTACCTCTTATGACATGATTTATAAACTTTGGCTGTATTGGTCTAGACAGAAGAAGGAGCAAGGCTGTAAAGTGGGCACAAGCAGTATTGGGGAATCAATAAGTAAACAACTTCCTCTTGAGCCAGCATTTGTAAATGCTCTGGGAAAGGTGTGAGCTGAGAGACAATATTCTCCTGCTAGAGGTGCTGTGTTAAAAGAGCAGCGAGACTTAACTATGGAGAGTTTTTATTACATATTGAATCTTCTTATGAGTGCAGATATGATAACCCTAAGGTCCCATTTCAGCTCCAAATTAAACTTTCCCTCCAGGTTTAGCTGTACAGAACATCATCCCTCGTTTTTGTAAACTGTTGCATGTCCTGCAACCAAAATGCCCATGCATGATTTAACAAAGGTACTCCGAACTCCTACCTAGTGTGACTGACCCCACAGAGTGCAGCTCTTCCTCAAAAAGTGAAGTCAGTCTTTTCAATGCATATATTACATTTTTCTTTACTCCTAAAGTTAACAGGCAAATGTATTAAGATTAGATCTTTATACATGTCATTTGCTTCAAAACAGCCATGCCACGAAGTTGATTACCCCGAGGAGATGTCGACCACTTTGATCCACTGGGAAGTCACGAGTGGGAATTCTGCTGGATTGTCAAAGCTTATCAACTAATTTGCATCTGGCTTATCAGCAAGACACTGCATCGGTGTGTCCCAGCTAAGAGGTGTAAGACTTGCGTGTTTGAAACAGAAATATCTCTGAGACCACTAATGACTGACTGCTGGGTCCCTTGTCATGATGAGTGGTCAGGAGCAAATCCAGCGAGTTTGCTGCAGTTCCACATGCATCCTGGTACCCATGGCTGCTACAGCTCCTCACTGTAGTGCAACCGATGTCCTTAGTGCTGTTCGTTCTCTCCATGCTGTCAAACAGGACGTACATGGGAGCTCATCAGAACGTTTTTGCAGACTCCACCAGCTGTCCATCATCATCATGGCTAGGCTTTATGAACAAAGATTTCAGAAGGGCTCTACCCACATTTGGTACAAGCGCGCTGGTGGCTAAAGAGGCC